AGCCTGTTTATCTGCTTACGCTGCCTATAGATCTGGTCTCCTGAACTAGCTTGGAGCCTCCTTGAAGAGGAGGATGGTGGCTTTTTGACTCTCCATTTTACATGATAAGATGTAAGCCTAATAATAATAATAATAATAATAATAATAATTGAGTATATCAATACAATGTGCATTCTTTAAGAATAGTCTCTTCTTCAGAGCTTTTGCACAGTACTGGATGCTCTGTGGAGCTTCAGGCAGTTCATTTTACTTTTCTGGGATCTATTTCTTAGAGAATTGAGCTTGACTAGATGCAATATCTCTTCTTAGTATGCTAGTAAGTTTATAAATGTTATGGAAGTTCAGGACATAGATATTTGCTATTAGCCTCATCCTCCTTAGCTGGAGTTGACCTTAAGGTGCATCTTTAGCATAAGGCCATGGACAGATAGCTTCAGGTACTAAACTTCTGAAGACATGCAGATGACTCCCACAGGTACTCTGGCTGGATCACAACAACATGTTCTTCCCCACTTCCCATCCCAGACCTGCATTAGACACGGTTGCAATTCTTCTAAGATTCTGCTTATGGCTACTCTCTGTTCTCAGAGTTAATATGTTGGATTGGCTCTCTTTTGACAGATTGGAAGCCTAGGGGTAGAAAGTTTAGTACCAGAACTCTACATAAGTAAGTCAGGTATTATTGGTAAAATGTTTCAAACATTATAATAGAATGATGGTAGTAATTATTTTTAAAGATGATGATGACATCTCTTTGAAGTTACCGTGTAACTTAATAAAGATGTCTGTCACTTAACCTTTATACTAGTCTGAAACATATAGCTTAATAAATACTTGGTATAAAATGTAAGGATTATTGTTTAATTACTCTTTAGTAACTTGAATAACTGTAATCTGTTCCTTTTTTTTCTGTTGAAAAGTAAAATTCATCAGAAAAAAATTCCTGCTTTACCTGGCTTTATTGCAGGAGTCATGGATCAGGTAGTATTCCATGTAGCAAGTAGACAGGTGCTACATGGGCTTGAACAAAATTGAAAGGTTTTATAATCAGTAGGAGGATCAGACAGGTTACTAGCAAAAGAAAAATAAAAGGTTATTCCAGAAAAAAACATCTTTTAGGAAAGGGCAGGGAGTTTTTATGCAGATTACCTTACCAAAGCCATTCAGGAAGATCTAGAATGATTGGTTTTAAAATTACATTTTTTGGGGCAGATGAAACTGCCATTAGGCTAGATATTAAGTCCAGCCTAAGTGTTAGGCCCAGTGGGGGCCCAGCATGATGCCAGGTTATATCTTTCTTTTCAAACAGTTCTAAACTGACTTCTCTAAGTTGGAAATATAAAATATACCATTCTTCAATATATTTGAATTTTATACAAATTCCTTAGCAAAACTTCTAGTGAATCAAAGGAATCTGTATTTATCTGAGAATGTTGACAGTTTTTAAATTAAAAAGTGTTATATGAAAAGATATAAGTAACCCAGTAATTACCTGAGAGGATCCCTAATATCCTTATTCTCAAGAAAGATTAGCAACAAATTAACAAGTTCAACAAAGTTTACTAAAACTTCTTTGCAAGAGATAGCAGAGCATAGTATTTTGAAGTAACATTACTTTTTAACATTACTTTTTATGGAGAAGAGTCTAGGATTTGGAATCAGGTAAACTTGAGCTTTAAATCCTTGAATCCGTTAAGTCTTTGAGCTCTAATCCAACATTTTATTGGCTAGGTTTTTGTAAGCAAAACACTCATCCTCTGTATTAATCTCCTTTGTAAAATAAGGTTAAACTACCTTGCAATATGTTGAGAATTAGATGGAGTAAAGTATACCAAGTGCCTACTATATAGAAGGTGTTGAGAAAGTGTAGCTCTCATTAGTGGTATCATATTTACGTGATGGGAGAAAAATTTCATTTTCTCTTCATTCAGTTGGAATACACTTACTTTTAACAAAGCCCTTACATATGTTGATTGTTTAAGAATGGAAACATTATGAGCAGGAATGAGTTCAAATGACTTTCCTTTTAATTAAGAAGAAATAAATAACATCATGGCAATGTTCAAGATAGTTCAAAGGGAGCTGGAAACAGTCAACATTTTTAGATTCAGATGCTGCACAAAGCTTAACTGCACGTCAGACCAAGATAACTCGGCACAAGCCAGAAAATCATCCTGCTTGATTGAACATGGTACTAGATATATCTAGGATAAGATATCCAGCCACATTCTTGAGATGTGGGTTTGAATAAGGTTTGCATTAGGAAGTAAGTGAATCCTTAGGGGCATCCTTACCTTCTATATCAAATCACACTCATTTTCCAGTGTTAGGCCTATCAGATAATGACAGTGGGGGAAACAAAATATCTATTGCTATTTTTGAGTTAACAACATCATTGTTATAAAATAATAATTATCATGTTTCTTGGGTCTGTTTTAGCCAAGTAAATTATCCCCATTTGACCCTACCTGACACATCTGTTTCCTGTTTATTAGAATGGATAGAGGCACAGACTGTTAATAACAAAAAACAAACAATATTATAAGAACAACAAATTGATTACTTGTAGATATTAGATACACCTACAGTAGCAAAAAGCCAATCAATAATGAGCAGCGATGTGAGTTGGTGAACAGAAAACTAACTCAAAGACAAAGATTTAAGAATTCTGTCATCCCAGCTACCCCTTTAGTGAGTAACCTTCTGAACAGGCCCTTTGAAGCTGCTCTTCATCTAATGCAGTGAGGTGGTCAGGAGCCATGTTCTACTTACCTATGGCCCCTTTGCCTTCTGTTAACTAATTCTGTCTTTAAAAATCTTTTAATATTGCTTCTTAACCCTAGATTAAAATGTTAATTCAACAGGAGCCAGAATATATTAGCTTTTGGGTGAAACTGTGGTTATCAGTTTTTGACCATTGTTAAATTATAGAGATCCTTGAAAATAGATAAATTCCTAAATAATTAGACATTTACATTTCAGTAAAATTGCAAAAGGGAAAGTGCATCAAGATTGATCTTATAGTGCCCCGATGTCCTGTGGTAGAGACAATTGCTACCTTCCCATCTTCCTTTGGGGCAGAATTCCCTGTTTTCAGCAGGGCACATGCTTATACAGAATAAGGACTACATTTCTTAACCTTACAATGAGGTACTGTAAGATTAGGGTCTAGACAAGGTAATATAAGAGCAATGCTGTACTTAAAGTGTTGGGGTAATGCCTTTCGTCATCCTTTCTTTGAGATGTCACAATGTGGATTTAAGAGCTAGAGTTTCAGCAGCCATTTGGTGCCTTGGGAATGACATTCATAGATAAAAATTTCTGTTCTGACTTTAGAGAGGTAATCAGTTCCAGACTACTTTTGTTTATGTAGTTGATCCCTTGCTAATTCCCCCCCCTCCTCCCAATACCTAAATCACTTAAATTCCCAAAGAAGGTATGAGAATAAGGATGAAACTAAGTTCCTAAAAACCATCTGTAACTTTTTTCTTTAACTCAATTTTAATGGATTATTCCACAAATAAAAGACATACTGGAAAACTGAAGAGAGGCATATCATTTTAGTAAAATGTTAAGAAAGAATGAACTAGTCAAAGAATAGTAATTCTGTAATACTTCAATATTTGTAATATTTAAGTATGTTCTGTGATATCAGACTGAATTCTGAGAATTTCAGAATGTGCTGATAGTTCAAAAATTATAGTAACTTCTGAGGAAAAGCAAGCTTTAAGTAGTGGTGCAAATATTTATTATTAAGTGCCAAATAATTCTATACATTTGAATATCAGTATTAATACATTGGTATTTCTCTGGGAAAAATTTACGAGAAGACTCAACTTTACATAGACCTTAAAAAAAACTTCCAGAAATCTTACTCCCAATAACCCATCAATATGAATCATATTGATATTGGATCCTCATTTACTGTTTAATTTTATTAACTAATTTAAATAAAATTGCTGTAACTATTGCATATAACCTCAACGACAGAATAATATTTTAAAACGTACTTTCTGGGTAATTATAAAAGTGGTTTATGTAGATGATACTGCATCGCATTCTCATCAACTACAAGTTTGGAAGACAAGTTTGAGATTTCGTTACAAGTAACCTAAGATTAACAGGACATTCTGAGTATAGCAAATGCCTAGACTATTTCCATTACTTTAATACTGAGTCAATTTTATCAAAATTTTCATTGTATCCTAAAAAATTTTTTTACTTGATACAAACAAATCTTACTTGTAAACTCTTTTATGGCAGAGTTTCTCAAATTATGGCACAAGACCACTTGTATAAGAATTGCTATAATGTTTGTTTAAAATACGAACTAAACATCACAGTTGTTGAATAAGAATCTCTGATTCATGCCTTGAGCATACGAATTTTTAAAACTCCCTCGAAGAGATTTTCAAGCACATTTAAATATCCAAACCTTTGCTTTGTCGAATGCAATGAAGTCTCAAGCTGTTTAAGTTCTTTCTTAACTAGAAGCGTTTCTGCCAATATCAAGCTCTTTCCTTATTCACTCAGCCTCCAATAGCATCGTTTTCACTGCATGTAAAAGGTAGAGATCATAGCTGAACTGATTAACCTTTACTCTTAAGGGAGAGGGATGTCTTTAGGTTGGTAGAGTGAACATGGATAGTCACAAGTATCTGTCAATTGAGGGGAAAAGGTAAGTAGAATAAAAGTACAGTCTGGGGGTATCAAAATCGATTTGAAACTAACCTGGGAGGAGTTCGTAATGTAACGAATGACAGTTTTTGGAAAGGATAGGATAGCTTAAAAGCCATCTTCTCTCTCATCGTTGTGACTGTGCTTTTGAGTTCTAACGATGAGTGTGTTCATTTTATGTGACTTGCTTTGGATAAATAACCCAGTGCCCTATCAGCTCTCGAGTCTGTGGCCAGCAGCTACTGTGTGCGCTAATGACGGTATAAGGTGCCTGGGGGAGGGTCTGGGGAGGGGCCGCCCAGCGCAAGCGGGCCCCTGGCACTTCCTGAGACTCCCAGTCCTTTCTCAGCAGCTGCCCCTGGAAGACTCCACGCTTTCCCTTTAGGGAAAGAAGCATCTATTTCAGCTGTCCTCTTCCTGTCCCTCATCTCTCCCTCCGCCGGCCGCCACCTCCACCCCTTCCATTGTGTTGTGCTTTAACCCCGCTTCCTACGCAAGACCCTATCCTCATTTGTAGCAGGAGGAATTACTTGAGAATTTCGGAACCTCGAGTTGCAATGGAGCTGTACGGAAAGGTAAGTAGTAGAAGAGTTCCTCTGGATGCTGTGAGCAAAATCTTGCTTTGACTTGTGTGTGTGTGTGTGTGTGTGTGTGTGTGTACGCGCGCACGCGCGCGCGCGTGTATGCGCGGTAGCTCAATGCAATCGTGAGTAGACCACCTTCTTTATTTGTGTGCTATTTGCCGTCTTTCCCGCGTTTGTTCAATGTGATTGTAAAACCACCCCACTCTGCCTAGGAAAATGTATCAAACTTTCCGGATTCGGGATAGGGAGGTGTCTGACCGAGAGTCCCAGAAAGCGGCACAAGCTTCATTTGTATTGGTAATTAGCACAAGAGAACGCGTTTTCTAAACATGAAATCACAAGTTAGCTTCGAAAGACGTTCACATGTTAGCTTCGAAAGACGTATAGATAGCGGGCAAAAAAAAAAAAAAATCCAGTTGAGATGAGCTGTGGTCACTTTTGCCTGCGCCTCTTGGGGAAATAGGCTGAGAGCGGCAACGACCAACAGCGATTCTGGAGGCGGTGAAGGGAGGCTCGGCGGCCGTGTCTGCGACGGCAGTAGGCAGCCTTTGAATGCCGGCTTGTCGGGAGATGTAGTTCTCTGTTCGGCCTTTTGCGGGAAAGCTACGGGGCGAAGACTACCATTCCCAGGAGCGTACGGGGCTCGCGGCCAGTACGCTTGTGCGGCGCCAGGCGGGGACAGCTCCGGTGCTGATGTTGGAGCCGGTTAGCGCACCCCAAGAGTGCAACGTGTGGAACGTGGAGCGCGCGGTCTTGGCACGCTTGACCAGGCGCCCGGGCCACCACTATCCTAGCCAGTGAGAAAGGACATTTCTCGAACAATGAGACACGAAGCTCCCATGCAGGTGGGTCTGTACAGAAAGTGTGGCCTCGGTAAGAATTGAGAAAAATGCTTTTTCCCCTCGCTCCAAACTGTGCCCGACCTAAGGGAGATTGTAGTGGGCTACCTTGGAAGAAGAGAGTCTGACTTGGTCCTGGGGACAGAGTTGGGTTCCTCTACAGTCCGAGTGGTTGTGATTGGGATGAGGGATAGGGGTATTCATTATCTTTTAGGCTTCCCCAGGAGATTAAGTGTGTCTGCTGGAAACATAAACCCGAGCAAACAAAAGTCAGAATGTCGTGTGAGCTGCAGGCATTGATTTTCCCTTTGGTTTCTCTGGTTTGTAATCCCGGTACAAGCAGGTTGCTGAGCTAGGTTGGCATTGCCATAGAGCGGATACCGCTGGGCTATTAATTTTAAGTAAGAAGAATCCAATGCTAGGCTACCCAAAGTCCCCTTTCTTCATTTAGGGTCCCGGTATTATCAATGAAAATAAAGTACATTGGGGCTCAGCTTATTCCAGCGGTATGACAGCCCTTTATCACTATCCACAGATCTGGTTTAGTCCTTCTTTTTGGAGACCGTCTTCTGAGTTTTCTGGAGTCATGTGTAACATTTATTGTATGTTCTAAGTCACATTTTTAGATTTGCTTTTTTCTTTTAGAAATGCAAATGATTCCACTGCAAAGCTGCTTCTGTCTAAGCATCTTGTTTAAGTTTTGTTTTTAAGATGAGTGATTCTCTTTTATATGCACAATCAATGAATGCTAAACATCAGCCTGTGTTCATTAACCAAGCAGAGTGATCCCATTGCGTAACAGACAGGCACTTTATGAATGGGGTTAAGAGGAGACTAGAATGTACCATTTGAAGCGGGTTGTCTTTCTTGAGAACCCACCTCTGCTTTCAAACCAACAATATAAATACTTTAATTTTTGCTTGAATGTTTTTCAGATGTTTTCTACATGACTCAAATACTTTAAACATATGGTTTGATTTACTTTTAATTTATTTTATGGATTATGCTTATGAAGATATACACTGACTGAACTGTTAAATGAAAATAATCTGTGGACTTTGTTTGCTGAAGGATTATATAATGAAAGCCCTCAACTTACCTTATGAGTTATTGAAAATTTGATTTGTTCCAGATAACAGTGGTCCCATTGTGTTCTTTCTAATATCTCTGTTTGTGACAGCTTTTCATTACAGACCTAATGTGAGAAGAATCTGGACAGACAATAAAGATATAGGCTGTTGCAATCAAGTTATATTGGCTTATGATAATTCTCCATTACCGAAGAGACTGCCAGGAGCCAACTGGCTAAATTAATCATATTTGATTACTAGTAAACATTGACAGTAGACTTTAAAAGTAGACTCTTAGTATTTAAAGTCAACCTATATATAATCTGCCAAAGTGAATTACTGAAAAATTAACTAAACTGCATTTAAAATTATTATTTGCTTAGCATGTTCAGAAGGGTCATCACAGTGTTACCGAACTGTATAAAATTAATGCCTTAGGAAATATTTTGGATTATTTCCTATCTACTGTGGAGCACACTCTGTACACATTTAGTAAGAACTTTAATGAAGAGTTAATGAAAATTCGGTAATATAAAATGAGTTTGCTTGTGAATGGAGTTATTTTATATTTATGCCTTATTTTACTCATTGCACTCCATTTGAAAAATTTAAATGTCCAAGTGATATCATGAATAACATGTACATTTTAAGAAATCAAAGAACATTTTCTCAAACATGTCAAAATACACATTCATTGACACAAGTCAATTGTTATGGTCCCCTCTCTCCATTACTATCAGGGTTTCACACATATTTAATGTTAGGAGGGATAAAAACTTTAAACCTACTTTATATGTTTGTGGCAAGTAATGTCTCTAAACCCATACTTTTAATTATAATCACATGACATATGACTTTGATATATGAAGATACACAAAAAAAAGTGGCTGACATTTCTTTCTTTCTTTTTGTCTATTTAAAGACTGAATCACATAATCACTTTAAATATATACCCCAAACATTGTATTTAGGCTTCTGGAAAATGAGTCACGAGCAAAAGCCCATACTGTACTTTTATTATGCCTAAGAGATTCTTTTCTTCATTGAAAAGGATTAAGTTTGTTGATGTGAAACAAAACAAGCTTTTAAATTATTTCTTAATTTATATATAATATTTTCTTAAATCATTTAAAAATTACATAATGTTTTTTAAAGTACTTGTCTATATAAATAAGTGGATGTACTCTTCAGAACAGTTGACTTTGATATATTTGCTGAAGAATTTTCCTTCCTAAAGTAGTACAAAATGAGGGATAATCTTTGTAGTCATTATAATATATAATGATAGTGTATTATGTCTATGTGTATTTTTGTAACTAACTAGCCAGAGTAGCATTTGGTAAGTAGTCCAAATTATGGGTTAGAAATTTAAAGTAGGAGATAGTCATTTTGTGTTTCTAATTCAGTGCATCCGTAAATCGGGAAGGCCAAATGAATTGGGGAATAGTTGTGCTCATGACTTGAGGTCAAAACTCTGATGAATAAATTGTTATTTCATTCAGGAGCCAGATTGAACAAATTCTAGTTTTGTTAGTGCTTTGTTTGTTCCAAACACTGTGCCTTGCATTTTCTCATGTGTGTGTATGTATATGTGTGTGTATAAAACATAAAATGATTCTAGAAGTCACTGCTATCTCTGTGTGTATGTGACTATAAACTATTAGACAATTCTAGAGGTCACTATCTTAATTACAAGCAAGAAGCAAAAACTGGATCTTACTAAGATTTACTAACTAGATCTTACTAAGATTTACTAACTTGCTCAACATGGCAGAGTCAAGATTTCCAGATCTTTGTCCTCTATTGCTTTGGATTGTCCAAGAAGACAAGGTTGGTGTAATGAATGAGAACATTATTTTTATAATTTCAGTCATCCATTTGGTTCATAAGAAAGGATAATAATCTCTGTGTTCTGTTTCTGAAAGATACTTGTATACTACAACAAATATTTGAGAAGTTCTAATGTTTTAAAAATTATTTGATTTTTTTGTGTTCTTAATTTGTCATTTCGTCAGAACCAAAGTGGAATCCATTGTCTCTGATTAAATGCATAATATTTCATTTTGGTGTCCATAATTTACTGGATCAGCTCCTAAATGTAGAATATTTTGACTCTTGAGGAAACTTTAAAGATAAACATTTGCCCAAAGCATCAAGCAGAGTGCCAAATTAAAAATGTGAATTGGGCCCTCCCTGGTGGCGCAGCAGGTTAAAGCACAGCACTAAGAAGCTAAAGCCACTTCCACATGAGTTCGATTCCTGCCTGCTTCGGAGGTGACCACATGGTGTGGCAGACCTCTCCCGACCCGCCCGCTGCTCCCCTCAGCACTGTACTTCATCAATCTGTTTGTTCTGCTCCCTACTCTGTCTCTAGTGAAGCCTCTCGCCGCTCCTGAGCCTCTAGCCTGTACCCTAGTTCTGTATGCACAAATAAATCTTTAAAAAAAAAAAGTGAATTGAAGAAAGAATATAGATATATTGATAAAGTCTGAAGACAAATTGAGGTGAATAACATACATATATATATGTGTGTGTGTGTGTGTATATATATATATATATATATATATATGTATGTATTTAGCCAGGTTTTGTATTAAAACAACTTATAAAGGCTTAAAGGCCAAATGTCACTGTTTCATTTGACTATGAAAAGTGCATGGAATTCTTGCCTTTATTTATTGGTGAATTCATAACCATTTCCAGCCTTGGTGATGCTCTCTCTGTCTTTATAAGAAATGCTACTCATCACTTACAGAAGGAAAAACTCCTAATTGACTTTGGAGACACAAGAGCTTTCCTATTCTATTGGAGCAATTTCCCAAAGTAATTATTCTTCTGTAAAGGAAAGCAGAGGAGCATAAAGTGAATTGGTCTATAGTAAAAATAAACTCTGATGTAAGAATGGTTTTCCATTTCCACTTATTCAATACAAGAAGTTGTGAATTTATTAAATGCTGTATTTCAATTTTCCCCTGCCATTCTAAACTTACATTGGAATTGGAAATTCCCTTCCTGACCATAATATTCCAAGGAAAAAATATGTTTTTATCTTAAAGACTTTATTCCCCCTCTGGGACTGTGC